AATTTTACAAAAATTTTTTTGAAAAAAAATTTTAGTAAAATTTTTTTCTGAATTTTTTTTTCTGGATTTTTTTTTTCTGGGATTTTTTTTCTCCTGGCAGAAAAATTAAGGAAAGTGGGTGTGGCATAGCTGGAATGATGGCTCATGATTCGCTGATGGCCGTGGAAGTGGGTGGAGCATGGCAATAACATGCTGTGTGGGGCGGAATTGGGGGTGTGGTTATGCAAATTAGGCGTTCCGTGATTGGCTGTCTCATCAGGGGGCGTGGTTATGCAGATTTGGAGCGATTTGATTGGTCAGATACTTGAAAGTGGGCGTGGCTATGCAAATCGGAGCGTTCTGATTGGTTATGCAAATTTATGCAAATGCATGCCTCGCCGTGATTGGTGGATGTGAAATTGGGTGTGGTTTGGGCAGGCTTTGCAGAAAAATTTCTAAGTCCCACTTGAGTTTTGAGGTGAGAGCTGCCCTTCGGTCACACCAGACAGTCTTTTCACTGTTCCCGTCGGTTCCACATGACCCAAAAGCTCAAGCAGTGGGTGGAGCATGGCAATAACATGCTGCGGTTGGTGGAAACGAGGGTGTGTTTATGCAAATTAGGTGTGCTCTGATTGGTTGTGTCATTATGGGGCGTGGATATGCAAATTTAGAGCAATCTGATTGGTCGGGTAGTGGAAAGTGGGCGTGGCTATGCAAATCGGAGAGTTCTGATTGGCTATGCAAATTTATGCAGATGAGGGCCTCGCCGTGATTGGTGGATGTGAAATTGGGTGTGGTTTGGGCAGTGTTACACTTGTGGCCATACGAGTGACTGATGTGCAACTCTCTCCTCAAGACTTGAGTCTTTGAAAGGTCTTCAGCTGCAGTGATCACTCAGCATGAAAGGCTTTGAGTGAGTTGAGGATGGACTTAGTCATGAAAGGCAAAGACTCGAATTCAAGTTGAACAATTTATTGGACAGAAAAGCAAACAGTACAATGTGAAAGCATTTTACCAGTCACTGTTTGTGTGGGCCAGTGCAAGTCGCGCACACACAAACACTGACGACAGGCCTGAGATGGGAGCAGCTTAAGTCTTGCATGTGCTTGACCAGCTCATGTGTGATGTCACTTACATCTCATGACACACCAAGGGGGACATGAGCATGTCCGACTTCTCTCACTGAGACAAAAACTAAGTGCCGTGTACTCCACAACATCATGATCACACTCTTCTGGTCAAGTTTTTAAATGACATTGAAGTGGGCCAAGTAAGTTTTAAATATATATGTATACATATGCATGCACATTTTTAAACTAACTTGGGCCACTTTGATGTTAAAAACATATTCCAGAAGTGCTTGATGATATGATGCTCGGGTTGTCTCTGTGTGGTTCACAGTGTTATGCAGTACACGGAGCAGAAGTTTAAGTTGAGTGAGAGATAGGTGGGCACACTCACCTCCATCTTGTGGGGCGACGTGACATCAGACATCAGCTCTTCAAGCACACAACAAGGCTCAATACTCACATGTGTCCAAATACAGGTTGGGCTCCCGTCCGCATGTCCTCCGTGTCTGTCGGCTGCACCTTTGGCCCAGTAGCCACTTCAATCTGGTCAGGCAGAAAGAAAAACAAACGTGGTAAGTCATCCTCTTCTATCCACAAAAAAAGATTTGAGTGACACAATTTGAGTCATTATTCATAGAATAAAGTGTCAGACCTTCAATTTTAACATGCCCATTTCCAACCCGACAACACAAATATACTGGTTGTTCTCACAACCAGTACATTTGTGGAAATTATCAACACATATTTGGAATTCAGGATTCAGTTTGTGAAAATCACAAATATCTTTCGAAAAACAAGTGAAAAAAGTCACGGATGTATTTGTGTGAATAGTTTTGAGACAAATCTGCCCCCTGATGTGAAGCCAATTCCACTGGTTGACAGCAGCGTTGGTGTGTAAAACATACAAGATAACATTCAAGCCAAACGCTCTCCTCGATTGGCTTTTGATTGACAGCTGAGGGCTATTTGTCGGCGGCGTGCTCGCAAACTGGACCCTTTGCTCATGTTTTTACGATTAACTGCGAGCGATTTAGTAACAACGACCAAATTAGGGGATCAACGTGTCGTAATTATGCTCCTCAATTGTCTAAATACACACAGTTAAACAGCGAATAGTCAGTTTAAAATGTTAAAATTACTCACTGAGAACACGGCTCGTGGACAGCGGAAATACTTGCTCATTGAACCGGATGTGCTCCCGTTCTTGTGCTTGTTCTTATTCTTCTTCTCGATGCATTAGATCTCCTTGGTCCATATCGCCCCCTACTGTCCAGGAAACCACAAAGGCATTTTCCAACCAATTCGAATCAAATTTGCAGTATTGGCCAAGTACTGTATACAAAAACACAAAAGGAATTGACTTCCCCAGTTATGACTCGTTCAGAGGAACGTAAACATAACAACTCAGACGAACATGGGGGCGCAGAACGGTTCGCCGAGATCTTAGAAAGAAAAAAAGTAGAGCCCATGCCCTTGATTTGTGAATAGATAGCTTCTTTCGTGGATGTTATCACAACATTGAAGTCTTTTTTTTTTTTTTAATTGAAATAAATTAAAAATACAAACATTGACACACACAAGTGATATTGCACATGAAAGAATAAATACAAATGAACTGAAGTGCTTTGTTGTGTTCGGACCAAAACATCCCTCCAAAAAAAACAAAAAAAACCAATGACTTCTGTCATTGAAGTTGTAATTAATCATATCAAATTCATTAAAATACCAAATATGTTGAAACATCACCACTAAGAATTCTTAGTCTGCTACGTTCAAAATTATTTCACTCATCAATTAAATTAAGTATTTTTAAACAGTTCTTCTGAAACTTGTGGAGTATAATTTTAAAAAATGGCTATTTTACTGAGATTTAGTGACAGTCTTTCTGAGAATTATTTTTAGAATAATTTTCGTCCGCCATAGTAATGAACTGCTTTTAGGAATTTAAACAGTCACCAAATTGATTTCTTGCCACCTGTAACTGCAATATAAACGATCAATATGACCAAACGTGTGACACATTTGAACGGTGTCCTATTTGTCTTTGGTCATACGTGCAACAGAAAGCAAACGAAATGCCCAAGATGACCTCCCTTAAGACTTTTTCAACATTTACAAACATCTAGAAATAATGAAAATACAATTATTCAGGAAACACTTCAGTGAGCATGTGAATGCTCGCTCTGACTCATTTTCTTATTGCTGAGCGATGAGTGATAAATCGTTTGCATATCACTTTACTGTCTCGTATGTGTGTGCGCGCGCGCATGTGGGGAGCAGGGGGGGCGGGGGGGGTCTGCTGGAAGTGGTTGCTGTGGTGTTCACACGGTGAGGGGCACCAAGCCGGCCGATGAGGCGGCAGGAGGGACCGTGATGGCATTGAGGGTCCCTGAATCTAGCCTGCTGGTCCCTTTGCTGCAAAAACAAAACAAAAGAATCTATTTTTTAAAAATATACAAAATTAGGCTTCGGGGTAAGGTCGGTAACAAGGAGACTCACCCTTTGTCCAAATAGGTGATATGCAATGACTGCGAGTAGGCGCTACTGTTAGCATTAAGGATGTTGCCGTTGTCCAGAGCGTAAGTCTTCTTGGCGTGCTGCTCCTTGGCCAGGTTCCTGCACGCTGCCAGTTTGGCCTCCAGAACCTACCGACACATGAGGCTCATGATGAGGAGAGGCAAAAATCAGATGAGTGTTTTTTTTTTTTTTTTTGGAAAGCATCACTCACCCCGACTTTCCTCAGTAGATCGCTGACGATGTTAAGAGCTGATATCCGCGCTGAAGGAGTCAGCGGTGAGTTGCTCGTGGAAAGTCCTGCAAAAAAAAAAAAGTTGTGTACCAATACTTTTGTCCATATAGAGCAAAACATGCAAGGCTGCACTGACCTGCCGCGTTACCAATGAGCGTGACGTCCAGACCTTTGCTCAGAGGCAACGCGGGACTGCAGAGCGACGCAGAGTCCATCTTGACGTCGTCGTGGTCGGGCGAGTTGGAGCCCGACGTCCGGCTCACGTCCGCCTGACGCTCCCGCACGGCCAGTTCCTGACGCAAATCTGATAAAAGACAAACATTTGTTAATTAGTCAGAGGTGAAAATGAATGACTTCATTCAAGGTGTCACCTCTGGCTTCATCTTTGAGTCTCTGAACGGACTCGAGGAGCGACTCCTTCTCGTCCAGCTCGCTCTCCAGGAAGGCATTCCTCTCGATGGCCTGGTTCAGACGTTGCTCGAAGTTCTCTAGAGAAACGATGGTCGCTCTGTGGTGGGCCATAGCAAAAACCCAACGCGGTCAGAAGAAAAATGCCACACTGACGGAACAGCGGCGGCAAAATGTCTCCAGACCTCTTGGCTCGTTCCAGGTCATCGTTGGACTGTTCCAGTTCTCGCACATATTTGTGAAGCTGCTCCTTGATGCTGCGCGTCTGCACAAGGTCGTCCTCCAGAACAGAGATCTGCTTGTAACTCTGGGAGTACTGCTGCTCCAGCCTTTCCTGTCACGGCACACAAAAACATTTCACTATCCTCTTACATTTTTCATGCCTTCCACATTGTCCTCAGTTGTGACCTACATTTATACAAAGGGTGGGTCAAAAGTTGCTATTTACTCACAACCTAGATCTGAGGTGGGTGGTGCAACATAAGTAGCTTTAGCAAGGAAAGAATGTAAGGATCCTAAGATGAATACAAACCTGTCAGAAGGAGGGAAAGAAGGAAAGTTTGGTTGGGCAAAGGGAGGAAGGAGGTAAGGATTTGTGCATAAAAAGCAGGTCAGAGTGATGGCATGACCAATATCTGGGTCTGCTTTTTACCTTGAGCATTTCCACATCATTCTTCAGTCTGAGGTTGTCCGTCTGGAGGTCCTTGAGGCAATGCTCGGTTTGGCCTAGCTGCGCTTCCAGCTCAGCCTCCAGCTCCCTGCTGCCCTCCTGAAACTCCAGTAGCTCATCGTGAGCCTCCTGGTAGCTGCCGGACGATAGCAGAGAGCACATATGCGGACAGAGACAGAGAAAGATGTCACGCTAAATGTGACTGTAACGTCAAGAAAATGAAAGCCCGCTTTCCTTCCCAGCTGCCAAGAACTCATAAGAACTCCACAATCGACAACCTCACAACAAAACGAAGTACCACATACTTTGCCTTGTACTTGACGTAGAGAGCTTTCCAAAAGTTGATTTCCTCATCCTTGGAGGAGAATTTAGGTATCTTGTCCGCTTCCATCAAATCTACGCAGGAAGGAATGTTCATTTTTTTTTTTTTAAAGATGGTCTCAGCTGGTTAAAAGTGATGTAAAAACTTGAATACAGTAATCTTTGATTTCGAAACCTGACATTTGAAGAAGGGGTGTGAAGACAAATTTGCATCACTACGTATAGCCTGCTGAGCTACATACATGGTGTATTGTCCACTAATTTTAAGTCAAATAGGACTTTTAAACGTGAAAGCTCGTGTAGCTGATGTGATTTGTCATCTTCTAGCAGGTAAACATCAAATGTATGCTTTATGTGGATGCTTCTAACGCCTGACCTGGTGTAGATTTCTAGCTCAGACGACGATTAATTTTTTTAAGCCAAATAGGGAAATGTAAACAAAAAATAAGCAAACATCCACCTTAAAACATTACTAAGAAATAATCGAGATAAAATAATAGAAAAGACATGAGGATTATCGACATAAATAGAGACGCAGGCAAAATGTCAAACATGGCTGAGCTCGTAAAAAATACACTCATCTGTGTTGTTTAAACATTCGCGCTTTTACTTCGATTTAAAAAAAGACAAAGAAATAAGTTGAAAGGTTACCTGCTGAACATCACCATATGAAAATAATGATTTCTCATCTAAATGAGATGTTTATCGAAACATTTAGCTCGAAGGTTGAGAAGATGCTTCTTCCTTGTCGTGTTAAACGGCGGCCGACGAGGTACACAGTGGGACATTAGCGCCCCCTCTGGACATGTTGTCAAAGTACCCTACTATTGGATAAGAAGTGTGAAGGGACTAATATCAATTATACTATCAAAAGGAATAGCTTGGAGTTATATAACGCATTGTTTTTTGTGCTTTAATAAAATACAACAATAATTGTTCATGTGAGCTTTGATACAGTGCTATGTCTTAGTCAAATAAGCACGAAACTTAGCCGTGACGCAAAAGAACGTAAAGGTCGTCATTACGTCATCTTTTGTTTGAATTGTAAATGCTTTTTTGAACAAAGTGCACATACAACAGGAGTACATCGTGTACAAGTCATATCAAATTTAGAACAAACATAAAATGCAAAAAAAAAAAAAAATTGGAGTGGGTTTCGGTCAGTAATAGTTTGCAAATTTCGCGTGATGTTATAAAATATGCATCATTACAGCCGCCAAGGAAATAGCTCAACAACAAAAAAGATCAAGGAAAGCACATTGTGGTCGAGAATCCCTGTGGGCAGAGACAAAAGTTTAGGTCCAACCCACGTTGCCTCGGTATGGTGATGCAATGCGGCTCTTGACTACCGCAAAGAGACCTTGAGGAAACCAGGCAAGACAAGTGAATCCGATAAAGTCAGACTTTATTCATTTTATGTTTAGAGAGACGTTTGAGGAATTAAGTTACTTAAAAAATACACGAGCTAGCCAGGAGTCGAACCTAGAATCTTCTGATCCGTAGTCAGACGCGTTATCCATTGCGCCACTAGCCCGTTGTGCTACTCTGGTGATACAATAAAGAAGTCAATTGGATCCGATCCGAGAAAGGATTCAAGGAAATGGGTTTCGGGAGACATTTGAGGAATGAAGTTTCTTTAAATAAAAAAAAATAATAAAAAAAAGTCGAGCTAGCCAGGAGTCGAACCTAGAATCTTCTGATCCGTAGTCAGACGCGTTATCCATTGCGCCACTAGCCCTTTGTATGATTTGGTCGAGACAATGTCTTTATAGTCAATATCAACAGCATTTCCTAAACCCGTGCACGTTTTACGTTTGTCTCAGTCTAAATCCCATTGAAGTAAAAAATGTAACAAAAGCACCACACACTGCAAGTCCTACAAAACATTTTTAATTGTTGTCACATTCTGATGACTCCCCTCCCCTTCAAACACACACTTTGATACGAGATGTTCACATTTGTTTTTGAGTCCAAACTTTAATAGCATCATCAACACACTTTGTCACAATCACTTCCAACTTGTTGGGGCCTCCTCTGATGCAAAGTAAACACGAGATACACAATGAGTCATTTCGTTTTTTAGCCTGGACACTTTTTCAAGAAGACAATTCTCGGGCAAATTTAACCTTAAAAAAACATTTTTTAGAATAAGAAGCATCACTTGCTTCTCTTCATTTGTATCCACAGACGGCATAGATGAGACATTTAGAGGTGGTTAAAAAGCATGCTGGCACACTTTCACTCAGGATACACACACACTTCTATTACTGCCTCCTTTGTCACAAAACGCACACAACCTGCCAGATTTACATTCCAATTAATCGTGTAGAAAAAATGGCGTCACCAATGTGATGACTAGAAACCAGGACACTTACAAAAGCACAAGCAAAATAACATAACAGATGAATCGTTGAATTGTTCTACATTAGGTTTTTCTAATATTGAAATTGTAAACAGTGCTAATTAGCTGTCACTTCATATTGTGAATGGGGCTCTTTCGTCTCTTTTTCTTTTTTGGGACAAGTCCGGTCTCACTAACATGTCCAAGTCAACACGTATTTGTCCATTTCCTTCATCAAATAAATATGGAAAGTCGTTTAAATGGTTAATTGTATAAAACAAAAGACAATAAGTACTCTAATATTAAAAATGGAGACATAACTTAAGCGTCCTCTTCATGTGTTCATTTCAACCAATCCAGTATTCCTATACATCTACATATATATATATATTTAGATTTAAGTCACTATATACAGAAAGCATGTATGTACACATATGTATTTACACGGTTAGTCTTTGTTTTTTTTTTTGCATGTGACAAGCGAGAGGAATGTCTGGTCCCACGTGGAAGCTACTCTTCGCCCACCTGGATGTCAAGTAAAAAGCCTTTGCAAGAAATAGATCTGTATCATAAATACTCTGCTCAAAATAAACAGGATGCTTTGCACATCTGTGCCCACACACACATGCACGCACGCGCTCACACACAGTCATCCTCCACGTGGGGGAAAAATGTGCATCCATCAACAGGCAAAAGAAGAAAAAAAGTAGCAGGCCTTCTTCTTGGTGCTAAGAGCCTGTTTTCAATATTCGTTCTCATTCACCTAAATGACTTAAATCAGTGGCTCTCAAAGTGTGGTGCGCATGCTCCCTCTCGTGGTACGATAAAAAAAATCACTGAATAGAACGTTTGAACTCTGCCTAATGGCTACATTTGTCTACCACAAATACATTTGAATTCAATCCTTTAGAACCATTTTAAACCTATTGTTAGGTAACTTGATGAACCCTTTTTTTGTAGTGGTACTTGGTGTCAAACATTTGAGAGCCACTGTTCAAGACAATGACCTTGACTGTCATCAGCCACAACTATGAAACAAGCCATAAAACAGGGATGGGCAAAGAAAGACCTACAGGCCACAAATGGTCCTCTTCGCTCTTTAATCTGGCTTACTGAAGCATTTACATTGTTATGAGTCAAAAGATAATTATTTTTACTGATGCCCCAAGGGGAAGATTCAGGAGCCCTGTTACATTTGTCGCATTAATTTAGCTGTTCCCCCCCCCCATCTAAGTTGGTCAATTGATTCAGATTTTTTTTTTCAAAAGTGACTTGTATAGTGAAATAGGTTAATTGATTTTTAAATCATAAAATGAAACCCACCCCTGCACTATTTCATATACTGTATATTCTGTGTTCTCGTGTCAATATAAAATAGGATCTGATGCTTGAATAGGAATCATAAATTCTGCAAATGTACACTATAGACAATAAATAGATTTCAGTAATTGAATGTTAACCATCAAGATGGTTTTTTTTTTTGTTAGTTAATCGGCTAAGTATGTACAGCGTGCATGTCTGTTGATGGTACATTCGCGCACACACACACACACATGCACACGGTGCACACACAGGCAGATGTCCATGCCGAGAGCAGAATGGTTTTCGAGATTCCTTGTGGAAGAATTGAATCCTCCCCCCACTCACATGTTCCTTGTCTGGCGTTCAAGGCATCAAATAAGGCAAACACAAACTAAAAATGGAACAATCCAAAACGCATGAATAAATCAGGGGAGGAAAGGAGCGAAAGGCTGGGGCGTCATAACACTGTGCTCTCCGAATCCTCCCCCTCCTCTGACTCGGTGGTTCTGAGGCGGCTCGAGTCCAGCAGCGCCACCGAGTGCCTGAGGTGGGAGATCTGCGCCAAGTCCAGAAGGCCGTCCAGCTCCATGTTGATGACGGGAATGTCCAGGTTGCAGAAAGAATCTGCGGGAGGAGGAGGCAGAGGAAGAGGAAAACATTTATTCATCATTCAAAGATTTCTTTGGGGTCGGGATGTGGAGAAGATTCCAGGTGGGGGCTGGGGGCCATGCTGGGCAAGGAATGTGCGGGTCCAAATCAGGCATGAGGGAGGAAAAAAAAATTCGCAATATGACCAGAAAATGTTCAATAATGTAGCTAGCTAGGCTATGTATTTAACACTTTTAACAGCCCTACTGCAGTATGTATCATACAGCAGCAACAAATCTAAAATAATGTTGTGTAAATTCAAGCATGGAGGAGTGGGCAGGGAGGGAGAAGGTGGCGGTGACGTTGAAAGCGGGCAGCAGGAGCAAGGCATTACGGGTGCCAAGCTTGAGCTTAGTTTTGCTTAATTTAGCGCATCCCTCATGCCCACACGAGCCATGCGAAATGGGCGCAATGAGACGTCGGGGTTGGATTTATGGGGGGAAGAGAGGAGGAGGGGGGGGTGTCACCATGTGGCCAAGGTAGGGTTGGAGGGATGGTGGATGTCAATGGAAGTCCGGCTTACCCTAAAAGTCCCTCAAACACAACGACGGCTCAAACGGCTGCAAGTGATCAACAACAATCACGCATCAGAGCAGTTTGTGTTGAGCACACATATTGTGTCAACACCAACTCAAAATATGCTCTTCACGAATAGTGAGTTTGACCCTTTGGGTTTTGACAAGCACTCATACTGCATCTCACGGCGTGCATGTTAACCATTTTGAAGAAAATGAAAGCTCCTACCTGTGGACATGCTCTCTCCAGGAGACAAACCATCCAGCAGGCCGGACGAGTGCTCCAGTGGCTGCGGGCTGCTGCCGGGGGTGGAGGGCGGCTGCGGGGGAGGCAAGCTGGGCCTCTGCCGGGGCGGCTTGGGTGTGGGCCGGGGCTTGGTGAGCGTTCCGGCCAGCGAGGGCGGCGAGGACAGAGACGGCGCGCTGGCCATCTGGACGTGTCCCAGGGAGCCGATGGTGGCGTAACCCTGCGGGTAGCCGAAGCCGTACGGCGAAGGGGTGCTGGGGGGCGTGGGCGACAGGCTGACGGGAGACGGCTGGCCCGTTGACTGCTCCGACACGGCCCCCGTCTGGCTGTAGGGGACTTTAGGCGGGATCGGAGCAAGCTTCTTTGCTAGCGGGGGAGCGAAAAGCATGTTTACAGATTAGAGCCACCTCTGGGTGTCTGCGAGCTGTAACGTGGGGGTCCGCAATCCTTTGCAACCAATGATGATGATGATGTGTCAACTTTTGAAAAAAAAAAAAAGGGCACACCTACAGAGGACTGCTCCGTAGCTAATTAGTGGCATCAGTGATGACATCTTCTTACCTCTTCTCACCGTGTGCGGGCTGTGCTCAGACTGGCTACCAGAAGACAGCGTGGCTTGGAATCCCTTCTGTCCGATTACCGGAGACAGTTCCTTGTTCTTCAGGGTGCTGAGGTGAGACAAAAGCAAAATGAGGCGCCAAGCTGATGCCGCCATCATACTCGTATCCCTTCATCATTGCAATAAAAAATACATCTCACTTTACTTATCATCTTATTAATTTTATAGGATAGCCACGATGAGGGTTGAAGGGCAAAACCATCTAAGGCTCCACACGGAAGCTTCCAAGAAATGAGGATGACTGAAGCGTTGCAAGTCGGGGGCGGAGCCATGCAGATGAGTCTTTGACATTCACATGTCAATGACCATGTAGTTGTTTTCCTTTCTCTTCGTGTTTTTCAATGATGCAGGATCATTTTGTGGACCCCCAAGCTGCGGCTCGCAGCTCCCTGGTTCCTGCCCACACGCCATACCTCTTTCATCAGTGAAGGCTTTGACACTTCTTTGTTGCCTAGCAACTGCCTCCTGCATTTCCTGGCAACCGGCACGTAGCCGTGATGACTTGCATTAAAGATGCATTTGATAGCTGCAACAAAAAAAGGCTGCTGCTTCTCTCTCACCCACCTCTTACCGGAGGGGCCGCACGGAGGGGAAAAACAAAAACACAAAAAAGCAGTGTTCTTGCATTTACCTAGTGGCCTTGCGTCCTCGCTCTCGGCTACAGGTGGCCCAAGGAGGGGGGACGGATAAGGGGGTGCCGGGGGATTTGTGGGAGCCCAGGAATAGATCGTGACGCGTAAGAACGAGCGGGGGTTTGATGTAGAGGTGGGAGCCGTTTGTGTCAGTTAGGGGCGCATGCAGGGGCTCGGATAGGGAGGCCTGCTTGTGCAAGGGCGGGGAGCTTTGGGCTCGGGGGTTGGAGTTGATGTCAAGGGGCTGCGGGGATGGGCACAGGGAGTGGAGGAACGGGGGCGGGCTGTAGCCCGAGCGACGGGGGACGGGCGACGGGCCCGTGGGCACGCATTCGGGACTGCGGGAGAGCGGGCGCATACCAGGGGGTGCTCGGGCGTAGAAGTGTTGAGGGGGGAGCGAGAAGGGTGTGGAAGAGGGGTAAGGGGGGGGCGGCCTCTCCTCCTCGGGGGAGGGGTGGGCGTTACAGGAGTCCGAGGCGTCATCCGAGCTGGAATGATAAAAGAAATGTTTTACGGCGAGCGGGGGAAGCTGCTGAAGAGGAGAATGAGGTGGGAAAAATTTCCTGTTGGTGAAGAAGGGGGGGAAAAAAAAAAAGAAGCGTCACCTCATCCACTGCAGAGCCTTGCGACAATGGAAGGTGAAGCTGTGAATCATGCGGGGGCTGACGGCCAAAAGACAACATGAGAGCGCCGCACGGGCAGCCAGAGCCCCTTTCACAGCCCCTTTCACGCCGACGCAATTGGCACATCATAGGAGTACCGTTCCATCGCGTAGTCACAGTTCGGGTTTGAGTTGTTTTGCTGAAAAAGTTCACCTAATTGCTGTTTTTGTATCCTTTATAGGAAGCCCTTAGATGTCACTAGGCTTAAAAAAACCCATTCTATCTTCTTGCCGAGAAGCTAGGTAGAGTGGATGGGTTAAATTTAACCGTGAAGAGCTTTGCTGGCAAAAGAGCTTTAGACGCAAAACGTGACAGTGGGAAGCTGCATCTAATTATCTAAATGTGACAAGTCGCAAGAGCTGTGTAAACCCCCCCCGCCCCCAGGGAGTTCGGTCTGAAAGGCACCGGCGAGTACATTTCGACTCTACGTTATACCTCATTATGTGCAAATTTGCCAGGGAGACAATGTGAAAGGGGCTCCAAAAATTAACATATTCAAGCATGTTCTGGGGTCAAAGGTTAAAAAGTCGAAGGAAGGTCTTTGGAGGGTGACGATGACACAGCACTGGTCTGGGGGCAGCTGGGGGCGCAGTTTTCAGGGGCTGAAACAGGGGGACGGACTGGGGCGGGGGGCACAACAGCCTTACCTGGCTCGCTCGCTGTTAGTGGGAGGAGGGGTGGGGGAAGGGGACCCTGAGGGGTCCCCGGGCGGCTCAGGGGCGAGTGCGTCCGAGGGCGGGGTAGGTGCCCGCACACTTGGGGGTGTGGACGAGGTTTTACGCGAGGACGACGAACCCCTGCGGGACACCCAAGAAGTGTCCATCACCCTGACTCCCATGCTGCAGTGGGACACAGACGCACAGCCAATCACTGCAAAGGAGGTCGCGAGCTTGGGTGGGAGGGGGAGGGTGGGGGGTGTGGGGGGTGCTCAGTCAAGGGATCAGCTTCCTCCATCTAACCACGGCTGTTTTAAGACTTGAAAGCCTTGAGTCTTGTTCCTTGTCTACCAAATGGTAGAAGCAGAAGTGCTGATTATATATATTAAAAAAAATCAATGCCTAATTGTTTAGTTTGATCATTATTTCTCATTGATTTGCTATTAATAATTAAAGAATAACAATCAAATAATTAGGTCCCAAACTCGATATATTTTTATGACTTCATTTGATAAAAATTAACGTGTGAAAGAGTTTTTTTTTTGCTGTCAAACGAGTCCATCTGGTGCCAAACATCACAGTGATGCAACACACACACACTCAAACATCAAACACACACACACACACACGCCCCCACACACACACACACACACACACACACACACACACACACACACACACACACACACACACACACACGAAACAAGACCGCTTTGTTCAAATCCACCGAAGACGAACACCACACACAAAGAAACTGTGAGACGTAATGAAAGGGGCGAAAGGGGTATCACGCTACCTCTGAATCTTCCTGATGCTGCATGGTTCAAATAGAGAAAAAAAAAGCAGAAGGAGCACACGGTGAAAGGTCAACACAACAGACACGTCCTTGAGACCACCTAAAAAAGGTGATTCATTCTCTGAAAGAATAATACTAAGCAGAGATTCCAAGAGGACCTAATAATTTTTGGTCACGGTTTTTCTCGAGTTGAACTGTTTTAATGGAAATAAAAATCGATGATTCCTATCAAGTTCAGAAGTTTCATGTCAAAGCCTTACTCCTTTACAGCTAAGACCGCCGCCGGCTGCGCTCTACGGATCAGAGTCCGGGTTTAATTAGCCGAGCTGCGCCGAGACGCCCCGCTGGGCCCGATAAGGCAAACGAGAGCTTTAAAAGAATGGTGGGAGGATCACAAAAAGTGAGGGAGAGAGAATGTCTTGACATAATCCTTTGTCACTTTGGACTTCCTGAACCTAAAGCTGGTCTCCATTTTTGACAGCTCTGTTGTGTCCTGAAGTCTAAGTGTAAATCACCCGGCATTTGCTCGGTGCCTTTCGTGCCCAGCGCTGGGTTAGCTATTTCACCCAATTTGGGTGAATTTTAAACCCGCAGTCTTAAGAGTTGCTTAAGAGAAGCCTCGTACCCGTCTTTCTTGTAGAACTCCAGCATCATGTTGTCCGTGGCGACGCTGAGGGGTCTGCGACTCTGCTCGCTCTGCCGCCGTTCCATCTGCTCCATGTCGGGAGACGGCATGGAGCTGTAGTTGGCGTTGTGGTTGGTGTGCACCGGACTGCCGTAGTTGCCCGTCACGTTGAACTCGATTTCTGGGGGAAAAAGCGCAGGGCATCGCTCAAAGTCTCGGGTTGAAAGGGTTCATCTTTTTCTGGTTTGCGAGATATTATTTGAGAAATTCGGTGTTGATGCGTCACCTCCAGGGAAGAACCAGTCGGCGTGCTGGATGATAGGCTCGATGATGCCGACGATCTGGAGGGACACCGTGGTCATCATCTCCGTGATGTTGCTGCGGAGGACACGACGTGCGTCATCATTTTGAATTTTTCAAATGGACTTCATGAAAAAGAGCTGAACCGAAACTTCTACTTTAAAGTGTTTTCCAATTTAAGTATCTCTACTTTAACTTCAGAGTACAAATACGTTTGCCAACTCTGCAGCGGGAAACATTAGCAGGGCGACGGCTGTGAAAGGATAATTAAGAGCTTGATAGATTGATGGCCGACACATTGAGAAGGACGCCGGGGGGGGGCGACTCGTTTCCCAAATTGCTGCGTCACCATCCTAAGCAGACCCCATCTTGGAAATGGTCGTCCCGAGGTTTTTATCAGCATATCCAAAAGGACAGCGAGAACTGTGAAGGTGGGCTTGTTGGTCTTGCACAAACTCGGGCTACATTCGATTCTCTTGATACAATTAACGATTGACTTTAAAAAAATGAATCGAAAATGTTACCCGTCGCTGTGCGTCCACAGCAGGTTGGGCCCCAGCACGATGGCGATGTTCCCGGGAGTCATCTTATTCACGTCCTGGTATTCCGTCAGTTTGGACAGGAACTTAATCAGATATCTGCAAACATGTCGCAGGAAGTAAAAGCAAGGTCGTATTGCACATTTGCATAACCTACTTTTCCTCATTTCTTCTTTTCCCAGCGGACTCGCGAGAAGAAAAACACGAGATTACTGAGCTGTACAAGTTTCCCGACAACCGAGTGAAGCCGCGTGTGATAAACTTCCATAAAAGCCTCCCCGAGCTAAACACTACTCCCATTTGAGAATACCCTTGAGGACACAAAAGTGGGCCAGTGGGCCGACCACGTGTGCGTGTGCGTCCGCAAACATCAGGCAGCCCGTCATGGCGAACGACGGTCGCTTGCTCGTGTCTGACATCTCCTCTGAGGAGAAGCGCTAAAAATAAACTCGATTTGTAAGATGCGACAGACACACTGACGCGTGCAAGATCCGAGACCCAATAAGTTGACGTTTTTAAGCTCTTTTCACACCAAACAACTCAACTATTTGAAAAGGACCGAGGTTGAAGCAAACATCCATTTTGATTCGTTCTCAAAGCAGTTTGGAGAAGGGGCGATGTCATGTGTTAAAACACAAGGAGCGAAGGTCTTACCTGAAGTTGTTGTTGCTGGCGGGCGGTAGTTTGTCACAAGCGCAGCGGAGAGCTTGCAGTCTCTTGTCCTGGTCCGGAATGCTGCGGGAAGCACAACACAAGTGAAAAAAATAAAATAAAATTACACAACTCCATCCTGTCGTATGTTCGAGGCTACTTACTTTGAGGCCTGGATCCAGTCGTTGTAAAGCTCAAATGTCATCAGGGGCTCGGGGAGCTCACGCAGGTAAGATTTCAAAGCTCCTGCAGGACAATGATTAAATTTGTGTCACGCAAGATTTTCTGGTGTCGGAGGACAGATTTGTAGCTAATTTCTATCTGCAGCCTGCGTGGCAGGGAAATGCTGCAGAAAAGCGAAGGGAGATTCGGAAATGTATATGCATACAGAAGATACATTCATAAAAAACATTATTCACAGCTACGTAGTGATGGGACAGTTTCACATTGAAGCTGATGCGGGACGCGCACTGGGGGATGCGCACCCCCCCAGCTCACAAATTCGATGCGCCGTAGCAGCCGAGTCATATGAATTTGGGATTACTGGAGAGGGATTTGTCCTCGGCGCTGAGTTGTCTCGTCCTCTCTCCTCGACGAGCGAGTGACTTTGGATTTGACTCCGTATTTAACGAGCCGTCTGTACGCTTGCACTCAAGAATAATTCTCCACCGATACAGTGCACTGGGGAGCGTGAAAAGCTAGGCACCACCGTCTGTTGCTACGCATTTATGACATGATGTATTTCCATCTTTTGAAAACATCACAGAATGTTGGGTTGGATAAAGTAGCGGGTCGGTCCATTTTTTTTGAGGGGGGGGGGCAGCAGTTTTACGAATGTCTACTGCTAACAAGTTTCTGAGTAGCTTGAAGTCATCAGTACAGGTAATCAAATCCTCAACCCAATGCGCCGGGTATTTATAACCCAGCGTTGGCTGACTCCTTTTTGGAGCTAGTGCTGAGTTAGCTATTTCACCCAATATGGGTTCCCTTTTGACGCAGCAGTTTAAAGAGCGCATGGAAACACATGAGCCCACCTGCGATAGCATGCGGGTCGGCCGAGTACTCCTGCACGTCCAGCACGCCGCAGTCCAAAGACGCTTTGAGCTTCTTCAGCTTGGAGGCGGACGGAGCCACTCGGAACAAACCCTGACATTGGCAGAAATACGTCACGGGTCACCATGTTTCCGTAATGTGTCAATTTGCTTGTTCAGTTGAATGTCACAGAGGTCGTGTAAAATAATCTGTTTGTGTGCACGTGACATCATCATCCCAGCCCGTGCGTTTGTGTGTGTGAGTCTGACCTCCTCTTGCATGCCGCACTCGAGCAGCATGGTGACACAGGCCTCGATAGGGAAAGCAATATCTCTCCCACTGAGCTCTAAGTGCTCTTCCAGCGGCTTCCCGTAGCAAGGCTTCTCCGCCCACGACTCTGTCAAAACACACACACACGCTTTAGATGTACACTCAGGTGTACAATATTCCCTTGCTGTATCACAGATTTTTTTTTTGCAGAACGTATTTTTGGGGCTGTTGGGGAAATCTATATAGCAATTTTTAATTTTTTTTTTTTTTTTTTTAAAAACAGCTTTTTACACTCATGTAAATATTGTACAGCGATGATTCTAAAAGTGTGGTACTTTTGTTATGTGGTTTCCTCTAGCGGTACATTATAAACAAATGACAGATTACAGTTCTGTTGTATTTAACTTTTTAGTACGACAAATTTAAAATGTATTTACTCTTCAAGAACGGTTTGTTTGACCTTCTATTCAAGTCAATTTTTTTTTGCGTGTTATATTTATTTGAACTGGAATCATTTAAGTACAGCTTTGTTTTTTGTTTTTTTAATATATTTGAAAGCAGTGTGCGGTCACTTGTTTACCCTGATGCGCTTTAATCTGAGGCAGAATGTTCTGCAGCAGCTCCAGTGACTTCCTGTGGTACTCGGCCTGGACTTCAATCAGCTGCAGGGCACACAAGACATCAGTATGTGCGTGTGTGCGCGTTTGAGCGCGTGCATGTTTTTACTTACCGTCTGGAAGTAGTTTGCATAGTCGAGCTCTTTGGCCATGGAGCTGTACATGTCTGCAGACAGCTGGTCCTAGTGACAAGAAACAAAATACAAGTGTGTCATCTCGAGTGTGTATAATTACAACAAAATCATTCATGACATGCATACACCTGTTTGCGGTGCAAGAGCTACATGGTCACATTTGACCCTTTCATGTACCAATAATGATAACCTGTAAACTGATAACATGATAAGATGTCCACTGTAGTAACCGCTGTCCGCTTTGCCCCGTGAATGGAGAGCGGTCCATTTTAAAACGCAGACATTGCGCGGCAAAGGTCACACGTCAAGGTAAACTCCTGACCCGACAGATCTCCATGCGATTGGCGGCCTCCTCCATCTCCTCCCTCAGGTGGTCGGCCTTGGCGCCGCTGGGCTGCAGGTTGCCGGACAGGCCGGACGACTTGCTGGACTGATAGTATCTGCGACCAATTCAATATACAGTAAGGAATGGAAAACATGTATTCGATCCATTTTAAGGTCCGTGTACTTGTACAATTTTTTACCCTAACAAGTAAGACAATTTACAGCACTAGCAAAACAATTCAAGATTGATCTCAGGTCTGCTTCTTAGCCACATCAATATACCAAACATGCACACTGACCGTGTTCGTGCAGAGTCCATGTCCAAGACCAGTTTGGCTAAATGTTTCCTTTGTTTCTGGATGTTTGGGATTTCCACCTGAGAGGGGGCAAGCAGAGTTGACTTTTGTTGTCAGCTGCGAACAAGTGGAACACACACACACGAAGGTGTACCAGTCTCATGCGGATTCATTTACAAGCATGCAGGTGTCACATTGAGGTAAAGCAGGAAACACAAGGTCAGCGTTCATTTCATTACCTCCACCAAGGAAGCTACATCTTCTTGTATGTACTGTCACTTCTTGTCTGCCGCTTTTGATTCATCAATCTATTTTTCTCTTTTTTATTTTTGGGCGGGCTTTGGTTAGAATCGACATTGCCGTGCAGTGAACCCCTGCCAATTTTCAAAAGGTGCTTTTCGTACCTCGGAGAGATCGTATAGTGGGTCCATGACGTCTCTCTCGATGGTGACTTCGAACAGGATGAGCTCCTGGGACAGTTTTTCCTGCGTCTCGCCGCACAGCTTCAGCATCTTCCTGCGACACCACAACAGATGACAGACATTTCAGGACCGACTGCAGGCTCACCACTAATGCACTAATGTACTCACCCTAGCATAGACTCGTCCCCGAGCAACGCCGCCCCCTCCAACATGCATTGTGCGAGCGTTGCGAGAGGAAGTTTCTTCTACACGAAAAAAACATGAAAGAATCACAATGATGCCCAGCTCCACGTGTTTAGCGTCACACAAACCAGGGTTGACACAAAACTAATCTCTCGCGCTGCTACAGCCCCGACAACTATATTTTGGTCCGTTTTACTGCCGCTTCTCCTCTTCCTCCCCCCACCTCTTGTCATTTCTGTCACCAAGAAAACCAATCAAAACCACCAACTTGATTGAAAGAAGCTTGCCATGGCAGATGGCACCCATTTTGCAATGTATGGAGCTAATTACCGATTTTAATCAATTTCACGCCTACGCTTATCGAAAAAGTAAATGACAGTGACATTATAAGTATTGCTTTTTTTAATGAGATATGCTTTATTTGAATATGTAGGGCACCTACATCTAGTGGCATCTGGGTGCCAAGCAACTATGTTGACGTGAGGGACTTAATTTAGTCAGACTATAACCTTGTCTAATAGAAAAAAGTGCTACGCTGCCATTTTGTAACATATATAAGCAATTACTCCTTACTAGGCAAAAGACGTTGGCAAAAGAGTGACTTTGGAAAAAACATACCCATGAGGATAAATAACTGCTTCAGCAAACCTGACAAATAAAGTCGATTGGATCGCTAAAGCGGTGAATCGTAAATAAAAAGGTTCATGATGGCGTGTTTGCTCACCGACGGCGACCTGACCGACTTCTTGTCCACTTCCACGTTCTGCTGACCCTGCAGACACGCGGCCAACTTCTTGTGGGTGCTGTGTGACACCTGCTTGACCAGCTCCAGGCGCTTCTCCGCCTGACACACGCGGTAACAAAATTCCAACGAATGAAATCATTCTCATTCATTGCTTAGGAGCGCACGCGTCCACGACCACTTACCTGCAGGAGGTCTTCGCTTAACACTTCAGTCTTCTCAGCCCTGCGAGGGAACAGAGAAAAGAAGCCTCATTGTGAGTCAGGCTCAACTTGGAGGGATATAGTTGCCATAGCAACTTGGGAAAAAAACACACACACACACACACACACACACACACACACACACGCGAGCTCGCGCCGGATGACGCAGGCCCCGGAACAACTGTTAGAAGCTCTCCTCTCCTCCCACCATCTCTCGCCGAACACTTTTACCCCATAAAATCAATACGCGGCGGCGAGCATTTCAAATTTGGAGTGTTTTCACGTGAACGCGATATAAATGGGCTGCAGATGCAACGATGAAACGCAGATGACCTGCAGATGAAAGGAAAAAATAAACACTTGGGGTGCTACGAAAATCTATTGCCTTCCTCAGAATCAGTATTAGAAACAGAAATTGTCTGGAAAATAAAATCTGACAAACTCTTTCCGTGCTCAGAATCTGATTTTATTGTTCATGCGATTCAAGCGGAGGCCCGCAACAGCCAGACGTGCGCAGGTGTGGGAATGAATGAAACAAATGGCTCAAATTGAGTTATGAATATGGGATCTGCTGACGTGGTGTTGCGTCAGAACCCCCCGGAGATGAAATTGGAAACATCGGCCCCGCTGATGGAAGCAAAGCAACAAAGTGAGGATTAGCATGAGCCTGTCACCCAATATAACACGCTTTAATCATGGGTCAAGCATGGCCTTGACACGTCCAGCTATTGCCGGCGTGCACGGCAAAGAAGGAATGTTTCACGACTCGGTCTCTGCAAAATGGGTGCCTCACTCCAGTTCCCATTTATTGATATAGACGGTATATTCTCGCTTATTTCCCGCCTTGGTGCAGTCCAATTGAACTTGTGTGAAACTTCCCCGCAAAATAAAAAGACTAAAACAAAACTAAAGGAGGCTGCACTGATGATACAAACTGCATTAATGATTTTTATTTATTTCTTTTTAAATGCTAAATAACTCTTCTTTTGTTTTCTGGAACAAACAACTTCAGCTATCAGCACTGTCAGCTAACAGGAGACACCCACATATTCCTAATATACTCCCACTCCCCTTTTCAAAAGGCCTGTAAACTCATTTTGCATCTTTGTTTTCTGCATCCTTTCATTTTTTTTTTTTTTACTGTGTGAACACACGTGTATCAAACCCGCAACGGACGGGTACAGTGTTACAACTGATTTTGTCCTGAGAAAGTTGAACTGCCGGCGCAAAGGCCCCATTTACAGACAACACGCTGCAAAAAAACTATTTTAAAAAAAATGGATGGAGCAAGAAGGCCAGGAGAGCTTCTGCTGAACTGTTGTTGCTTCCAACAATCGGGCCCACAAATGCACGCGCACACGCAGCCTGTAGTTGAGATTAGAGCTGAACTTGAATCCCCTCAAAACCCCTTCCTCCTTTTCTGCTGTGAGAAGAGAAATCTCTGATCATAAAACCACATTCATTGACACGAATGCCACGGGAAAAAAACACACACACACACACACACACACACACACACACACACACACACACACACACACACACACACGTACACACCTATTACATGAATGTCACAATGTCGTTTGCTGCATTTCTTATGAATATTGCAGGAAAAGAGTGGAGCAAATGATTAATTTCTGGTTCCGCCGTTGACGCAAAGGATTGTGGAAAGCCCCTCGTTGCTCTTCAGTGAACAATGTGAGGAGATATTGAAAGGAAAATGTAGAAAAGAGGCTCGACTGAATAAAATCAGAGACTACACAGCGGCTTGCTCATATCGCAGTGCATTCTGGGAGTTGAAAAGGACAACTTCATTTCTGTTTGTCCAGCGTTCCAACTTTGTTTTCACCTTTCCCGGCAGAAAATAACCATTCATCGTAAATCATAAAACGTGTTCTTATAACTTTTTCTGTTCAGACGACAATATTCATATATATTATACAAAAACAACTCCCTAAAGCCACAAGTTATCAATAAAGTCATCAGCCACATCGCGTTTGTCCTCCCTCACTTCCTGTCCGACATAAAAACAAACAAACAAAACAACTCACAGAACGGCAGCTCGAGCCCTGCTGATCCGCAGCTTTCTCTTCCACATCCCCTCGCAAGCAGGCGGGACGGCACCTGCTTTCAGACCCGCCGAGGCAGCGAGTGCGAAGGAGGAGGAGGAAGAGGAAGAGGAGGAGGAGGAGGGCGGATAGGAAAGAGGGAATGAGACCTGACTATCTGGTCCTTACGCTTCTTTGCCTCATCAGCCATCAATCTGCCTGATAATTGTCACCGTGACAACGGGGCCCATTGCACAATTGTGTTCTTGTGTGTGCGTGCACACGTTAGTGTATACAGTACATATTTTTGAGTGCACATATGCGAGTGAGTGTTAGCATGCAATTGTGTATATGTGTGTGTGTGTGTGTGTGTGTATGTGTGTGTGCACTTCCTCCGCCTTCTCACAGACACACAGTGTCAGCCTCAATGTCACGATTAGCAGCGATGTGACTAATAGGTCTTTCAGTCTGCGCGCATTGTTAACCAGCCAGTGGTCTCCGTGGCAACCACAGAGCAGGAGGAAATACTTTCTGGGATGATGTCATCGACGGGCAGGCAGAATAGTCGCACTTCGATACTGAATGAGTGCACTTTACGCGGCGGAGGCGCGCTATTGTGGAAACAAGCCGTGATGAGGCCAGAGGTTGTGATTGACAGCTGCTTTGAGGGGAAGACAAGGTAGGAAATGCGCTTGAGACACACACGTACATCTTTAGGAGTCACAGAAGCAAATGTAATAAATATTAAGGCAAAACTGAATGAATGCACTTCACACGTTGAGACGCACTATTGTGTAAACAAGCTGTGGCGGCATGGGGGCGTTCTGATTGACAGTTGCTCTGAGGAAAGACGTCAGTAGGAATTCCACTTGACACACACACTCACACACACACTTCTGACATTGACAACATAATGTAAGCTTGATTGATGGTGCATTGAGACAGTGAGCTGATGTGATGGGCTGACAATCTGTGCGAGCTCGCAATTTGTCGCCAACATCCGAATGATGAAATTGTGTGTTGCAATAATCTTGGAAAACGGAGAGAACTACAACACACTGCTGAACCAGGCACACACACATAGACACACACACAATATACTGCTGAAACAGGAGTCACAGAAGCAAACGTAATAAATATTGCCGGCTCTCACACACCCCCTCGCCCACATCTCCCCACCACACCGCACTGGTGCCGTTGGTGTTGTACTGGTGTTGCACGCCAAACGGAGTCACGTGACAACAAAACCCGGCCTAGAGCTGGAGCTGGCCCAGAAAGAGGAGCTCATCAAAATGCCGCTCATGGCCCAAAGTTGCAAAAGTGTCCAGCGGCACCCCGGGGAGGGACTTGCACCCCCCCGGCCCCACTCCTCCAACCTCTCTACACAAAGACAAAGCGGGCTGCGCTCCAAATTCTCCCGCCGTACCTCGACCCACTTCGCGCCGAAATGTTATCGGGCACGGGATCCAATCTCGGCAATGGTCTTCATGCGAGACAACTGTGCCCTGAAGTTGACTGTCGACCATTTCATTGTTTGTCAAGGTCACCTGCAACCTTCATAGGACAAATGCTTTACATCACGGATGAATGGGAAAAGAAAATTTCAACTTCCTGTCGTGGATCTGGTGAGTAAGTGCTGAGGTTCTGGTTCTGATGCAGAACTTGCTGCAGCAGCTCGACCTTAAAACTTCAACGTTTCTCTCACCGACAGCATCAATAATTCAGAAGGGCTAAAAATAACAACAACACTTTCGTGCCTCTGTGAAGACAGAAAGGAGGAGGTGTTTAAAATTTCTCTGTCAGGGAAATATAGATTCTTATATGTATTTAGTTGGATGCTTATGTCCCTTAAGGAAAGAAAAATTGCCATTTTTGATAGTCAAGTGACAGTCAACCCAGTGTTTCCAAACTGTGAAGCAACGATGGACAGTTTCTTTGCGGCGGTTATTGGCAGTGAGACGAGTGTTTGCTTTCCAACCACAAAACAAACAAAATGTGGCTGCAGTGGTGGAGGTTGTGTGCGGGTATGCGCGGTCGTGTCAAGGCGTCCATTCAGAAAAAAAAAAAAAAAAAAAACTGCCGGATGACGAGTGTAATTAGCACGATAATATAATAGCACTAATTACGTCATATCGTTAATAAATGCATACCGAAATATGGAAGTAGGGGTCCCAACAAAGCGAACATTCCTTCTCCCAAAATCACCATCGGGGCAATTAAAATCTCTAATATGGATGATCACATAAATTGCAAAAAACACCCCCCCCCCCACAAAAAAAAAATGATTAGCATCAATTTGAAGAAAAAAAAGGAACACATTTTATGAAATGACTGATTAAAATAATAGTACATGAATTTTACAATGCAGGTTTTCTTCTGTACCTCGTCAACAAATGAGCCGGCTGCTCGAAAAGCGTCAACAATGACGACGCATCCTGATGTTAGCCTGCTTTTACCCCATCAAGCAGATGTGTTGCAACATCTCGAAGGATGCTCTCTCTCTCTCTCTCTCTCACTTTCTTTCTGTAAAGGCAGCTCAACATATTTGATGAAATAACGTGAGAGGAGGCTCCTGTGCGTTTTTCAAAGCGTTAACTGGCCTCGGGCTCCTCTCAGCTCCTCTTGGTGCCGCGTGGACTCGTTACTGCGAGCGCCCAATAAAGCAGCGAGCGCCATTTAAAGTAGGGAGATATTTATGGCGCTCCCCGCAAGGCCTCTCCTTCTCGTTTCGACCCACATTCCACATTCCTCGACGTTCGCAGGAATGGGACGGGGGGACTTGACTGACGCGACCTGACTCGAATCGGACTTAAGTCGCTGATATTGGGACTGCGGAGTTGCTAGGCTAAAACTTAAGAAAGACTGAAAGATTGCGAATGTGCTGGAATAGATGAGAATCAAACTTGGTTGAGCTAGTTAACACATGTACAAATAGTGTTGAGCCTTAAGCAATGACGAGTGCGGTAGGTAGTGTACTATAATACATGTTTCAACCATGCATAATTGGGCGACCCGCCTAAAGTGATGACTTGATTAGCCCAAGTAATGACGAGGCTTACTTTGAAATTTATTGCGGAGGCTACTTGATTTATTCGATTTTTGCCACAGTGTTTGGCTTTTCTTTTTTGAAAATGTCAGCTGTGCTTTCATCAAGCGTCACGTCCGGAGGGACGCCTGAGGCCTTCTGAGGAGAAACATACTCGCGACGGCATCTGCAAGACGACACCTCGGGATGTGCCGCAGCTGCTACGTGGCGAAGCGCGAACGTGGACACGTCTCTGCAATTAACGGGAAGATGAAAACGCTGTGCGCGGATGTTATTTGCTACTGATGGTGAGTAAACAACTGACTTGCTTACTCAGGAGCCTTTCGTCCACTTGACCTATGAAAGTTTAAAGGCATGAGTCAGTGGCAGTAAATCTTGAATGTTTAGCGTGGGACATGAATAACATCCACGTCCACTCTTGTGCCCAGACAGAACATCCTAAGATGCGCTCATCAGTCCCGGGAAGGACCAAGGCGGCCGGTGGGAATGTCCGCTGAGCTCTGACTCATCACCTGACTCACGGTGCGAAGGCGGCATTCCAAGACCTACTTTTTCCTGGTCCTAAAATGTAAATGAATGATTATGAAAAGCATGCTAAAATAAATCATTATATTATGGAATTTTCTCTGATGTCACAATAAAAAGGCCATAAAAGTCAAGCATTTTTTTTTTTTTTTTTAGATTAAAGTTGTAATTTTCTGCAATGAAAATAAATCCTAATATTACAAGATTCATAATATAGATGATGGACTGTCAACAGGAGATGCCTTGGCAACCTAAAATTTGGAGCTGACTGGTCGAGCGTGTTGTCCATACGTCATGTGATCAATGCCCTTGGGTGGACCTTCATCAGTGTCGGCTGACCCATCTCAGTCGAGGGTCATGTCGACACACGGACACGGGGAATCACCGCGATTGCCGTTGCCATAGTTACAAGAGGCCACCGCCGTTGCCGTGGAAATGCCTGAATGAGGTCACGCAGTACGTGGCGCCTGCATGTCACTGTTCCAACAGCTCCACATAAAATAAAAGATGCAGCTGTTTTTTTCGACATTCCTGAATGAAACGGAACATTCCAGGAACTGTCCTGGCTCTCATCAAGCTACTCCTAGCATCGCTGAAGCGCCGCACCCCACCCGGGACATCACTTCCTGTCCTGTAAGTGCTCTCAGCACAAAGCGAGCAGGAGCACGCCTACAGCTGGGTGGCTAACGTCACCTCGAGACAGCCCGGCCCCAGTCGCCGCGGCAACATAGGCGTGTGCCACCACAGCTGCATCAGACACACAGTCAACGGTCTTGAGATTTCTGGTGGCCACGAACGTGCCACAAACTCGTCAATGACGTCCAAACGGAACACACGTGACGGGAAACAAACTTTGAACGCCATCCACCATTTTCCTACCCACACGTCACACGACTCATAAAGGTTGTGTGCGTCATGGGGACGGCAGTGATGGGATTACACGCGGAGGACAAACAGTGGGAGCGTCCCCCATCTCTTTGTCATGCGTCCATCTAATCAGAGGGAAAGCTCCTCATCCTCATCGAAAATAAGCCGCAAAACCCCAGTCTACTAAGCTCGCTTCGGAGGGTCACAAGTCGCAACAGAGCGCAGATGTTTCTCATCACCAGCGCTACAGGAGGATATACACTTACATACATACATACTGTATATCCAGCTACAACATAGGTGGGCAAAGTACTGCCCACCGAGCATTTTCATTATCAAGAGCACGACGATATTTGTTGCATTCATTTAGCTGTTTTTCCCTTGAAATTACTTAGTGACATTTTATTTATATCTGATTGCTCAATGCACAGTGATACAAATTATAAGATAATAAATAAATATATCTACAAATATAATTAAAATAATGTTTCATTCTATTGCGACACCTGATGGTTAATTATTATTATAATAAAATGATCTATGTTACCGTATAGATGCACTTTTATTTTATTGTTGTCCTTTTACATTTGTTGCATTAATTTTTCTGGTTTTTTTTTCCCTCCCGTACAATTGGTTGATTAAAAAGATTTAAATGCTCATTTGTGGCCAAAAATTGGGTGCACTGCATGCAAAAAATACAAATAAATAATATAAATATAATTCCTGGAGAGGTTGGTACAAAATCAAGTGCACCTTATCAAGAAACACAATGTTGAGGACATTAATTATTCCAGTTTCTAGTCAAGGTGCACTCCATTTGTTTACCAGGACGTCCAAGTTGTTCTTGAGAATGGTATTGATCCCAAGTATTTTATGTGCACGTCATACCCATTTTGTGACCACAAATTCCAAATGTCTGGGCCTCCGTTCTTTCTGACTTCTGTTCGATATGGACCAGCGCCTCATCTCGACATACCCAGCCTTGAAACTCCCCCTTTTTCTTTACGGCATCATCGCCATGGAAACCGTGAATGAAATCGAAGAGGACACGTCACCCCCCACCCCCCCTCACTCATACTGCACGCTTTGGGTTTACACTTCGTCGCTCAGTCACACAGTTTAGGCGGGATTAGCGCTGCACGCTGGCTCTTTTGGAGATGAGCTGAACTGCGTCTGAACCTCTGGCGACCCACATCTGGATTGGAGTGTCACCATTGGGGGAACAAGTTTCGGTGGGGAAAAAAAAAATGGTTGTGCAGTCATCTTTTGATAATCACGTCTGAATAAAAGAGTATATTTCATGATGTGGCTTTAAGGTCACAATCACAGAAAACATTGGTGGCGTCTCAGTAAAGCGGGATCCCAAAATCACACTGGAGATTGGGCAGTAGGATGCATGACCTTAAGCGTCGTACTGGGCAAACTAAATTCTTGACAGGCCATATTGAATCTGATATTGCATGTATTCCATATATACCATACATAGCACTTTTGTCCTCCTCTAAACACGCTAATTGCATCACCTATGAGGTAGGTCATTATTGGCCTGTTCCAACTCACTGGGCTCCATCAACCACATACTCACACCCAAAATAATGACAACACTGCTGCCATTTCTAAATCAAAACTAAACTTGATGATGATGAGCTTCTGAGTCTCACTAGTATCTCCTCTTTCATGGCTGGAATCAGCACCTCCTGTCTGCAGGCCCAGCTCCAGTTTGAATAAACACAGAGCCCGTTGGTCGATGAGAGGCGACAAGTCGACCCACTTTCTCACTGTGTGGTTGATGCGTCTGCGAACAACAAACAGGCCTCCGCCAAGGCCAAACAGCCACGTTTGATAGTGGTACATTATTCCGTGACAGGCAGGAAATACACATGGTAAGCGGTTATGAATACTAGTCTTGGACTTGTGGAACTCGTGGCAGATGGGTGTTTCTAGTTGATCAGGTGTCGCCAATACAACGATTTGGAAATTTGGAAAAAAGAAAGAAACTACTGGTGTACCGAGCAAGAGACATTCGAAAAGGTGGGCCAAGGATATCAACAGTAATGGAGAAAATTAGCAACTTGTATCCATCAAGGCGTGCAACAACACAAGCGTTTCCACAATCAAGAAGAGAAGAATTAGAGTACCTGCCCTAAACCAAAAATATGTAGCGTGTTTATGTACTTTGTAGATTCAAGCAGGATTAATCACATCTTCTCTCATCAAGTGTGACGTGTCACTGCGTTTAACCGGTACGGCCGCTTAATACTTGGATGCCCGGTTCAAGTCTGGGATTAAAAAAGATTTTCTGGAATCCAACACCAAAAGAAGAAGAAGAGGGGAAAAAAAGGCAGTTTGTCTGCGGGAACCAATCTTAAAATTAAAACAAAGCTACAGCATGGAGACACAGCGACTTGATAATCTATAATCACAGCAATGTAGATAGATAGATAGATAGATAGATAGATAGATAGATAGATAGATAGATAGATAGGAGTACCTAATCAAGTGTCCTCAGTGATGATTGTCAGATCAATACGTGACAGCCATGCAAGTGAGCCCCCCCCCCCTTTATAACTGCAGAGTGCCTAAAGGGTGGGGGGGCATTGCCCAGTCCTACACGGCCATCATGCCCGCGCTTGTGCGTGCGCGTCCACGCCGTCAATCACACGACGCGACCTCCATCCATCCATTCCTTCCTTCCTACCTGCCCACTGTTTGGTTGGCGAGCTGTCTCATTCGGTTGAACTGCTTCTTCATTTTGTCGTCTTCTTCTGCGCCACACGAACTCCGCGGGGTCTCATTGATGTCGTCCGCCGCCGTGACAACCACGCCGAGCGACCGCTGCTGCCTTCATGGCGGCGACGACGAGGGCGGCCGGCCGGCGTGTGTCCGTGGGCCGCCTCACTCGCTCGCTCCCGAGGAGATGGCGGTGGTGCTCGTCGACCGAATTTGCGCGTCCGTGCTTGGCCACTGACAGTTCCCGCTCTCCCTCCCTCCCTGCCGCTCTTGACGCTGGGGTCTCGGTGCATCATGGGAAGTGTAGTCTATCAAAACACAAACATATAATTCAGTTGAATCAGACAACTGTGATTCCAAAAGGTCAAATAAAATCTACATTTGTCTTGCATAACACATTTGTAGTTGTTTCATATCAATGGACCTCCGTTTGACCAGATTTTAGTGGAATACATGGAATGTTTGTTGTTTTTGTCACCATTTTTGGAGAATCTTTTGGGGTTTTTTTTTTGTTCAATTCTCCTCATTTCCCACCTTTCTCTTTCCAGTATTGTACATAATACTGTACTGCACAATTAAAACTGTTGGGCTAAACGCCTGTAACTATTGGTGAAATTACACAGCGGCGTCCCTTGAGGCGCTAATGAGTCAAATGTCTGCTTCTGCCCATCAACGGCATGTGGAGAAGCAGAAAGAAACGAAGCCCAACAAGTAAACTTGTTGAATGACAACCAAACTAAAAACTTTTCACCTTTTCATCGCCGACGTTCTTCCAGCCTGCTGACAAGTCGGCACACTTCGGCGTACCGCTGCGGCGTCTCCGGCACAACTCTGCGCGGTTAGAAACCAACAAAAATGCGAGATCGAACGAAAGAATTGGGGAACGTAAGTGTAAGAAGTACTGCAGTACTATATATGCAGTAGCCCTTAGCTTTAGCTCGCTAGGTTTGCAATTTAGCATCCACTCGATTAACGGTTCCAAATGTCAACCTTTACTACGCGACAACTTTCATATCAGGACATCATCAAATCGGGTTTAAAATGCCCTTAAGATCATTTGACCTTTTGATTTGCCTCCATGCTCGGTTTGGGCGTTGTTTTACCGGCGACTTCCGCTGGAGGATGTGCAAGAGGGTCGGCCAGTCGCAGTGGTTCTCAATCAAGACACATGTTTTGCATTCGGAAAGTCGGCACACCATACGCATGACACAAAAAGTGGACACACGGTTTAAATATGTACTTTCTGCTACCAACCTGATGAACATACAATTGTTATGATGGTCACTACAGCCTGCTGGCATCCATAGGTGAAGAAAGATACAGTATTTGATGCAAATAAACAATTTCCGGAACAATTATTCCCGTAAAGCCTGAACCATTAAAAAAAAAAATGACCGAAAATTCAAAATATTTGAACCCGTGGGCCTTTATTAGTCATTCTGGATTAACCAAACATATTTTTCAGCCAAAAATCCATGTGTGGAAACCTGTTTCTGCCTTGAGTAAAACAGTTGACTTTTTTTAACTTTAGCATTTTTTTCTGGTGAAACAAAAATCACCTCTTTACTGGCAGAAACAGGCTTCCATACATGTCTCTATCATTAAAATGTTTTTGTTTTTTTACTGGTGAAATGGGAAAATTTAGAATCACAAACTGTATTGTTTTGTCTGATTTAACTTTTTTGGGGTGCAGACTAGTGAAATGGAACAACTCATCACTTTTTTTTCCTGGCATACAAGTTTAAAGGCTCACCGTACGACGTTTTCTCACTGTCTGTTTTCTTTCCACATGCGCAGAAAGGTGACGCTTCAGATGACGATGATGAGGGCAAATCTCTGATGATCAAACCTGGAAGCTCTTCAGCCAAGGAGGAAAAGGACAATGAGAGCTTCTTGAAAAAGGTGAACACAACTTTCCATGAGTTTGTGACTGACCTTGAAGAGTAGAGTGGCTCTTAAACTGGGGTCTGCGAGCCGTACAGCCACAGAGCTGGTTGACAACTTGGTAAAAGTGCATCTGATTTGGACTGTGTAGGTGCAAGAAATCCATGAGGGTCTTTACAGCTTCAAGAGAATGGTGTGCGAACTCGAGAACAAGCAGAAAACGGTTCTGGGTGTAGCGCTGCCCGAGGAGGGTGAGATGTGCTTGTCATGATTTTGTGTGCAATATGTCGAATGTACACTCCACGAGACAACTTCGTTTCTTAAGCGCGTTGATGTCATCTTTGCAGGGATGAAGAAACAGCTGCAGACACTCCGAGATGAGATCAAGACGCTGGCCAGTCAAATCCAAAGGAAACTGAAGAGTAAATGTCACACTTGAAATCAAGACTTAGGAGTTAATTCGTCAGAATGCACTTTTTTGGTAGCAAACAGAGATGTTGAGTTGTCTGTGTGTTTGATTGACTGCTTGTCAATGCAATGCAGGCATTGAGCCCAAAAAGGGAGACGACGATGGCAAATATGTGTCCATCAACGCTCGCATGCAGCGCACTCAGGTAGCACCGCACACTCTGAAAAAAAAAATTACAATTTACCACAAAAGGCTTTTTGACCTGGGCACTTGTCTCCATATTTTTCTGTGTCCGCAGCACGCCGTCCTGTCCAGGGAGTTTGTGGAGCTGATGGGCCACTGCAACACCATCCAGGCCCAGTACAGAGACCGCAATGTGGAGAGGATACAGAGGCAACTCAAGATCAGTGAGTTGCACACATGGTGCCGCCTCTTTGGCGCGATGAGTTGCTCAAATGATGATTTAATAAACAATGTGAACTTGTTTTGTTAGCTGGCACCCAAATGATTTAATAAACAATGCGAACTTGTTTTGTTAGCTGGCACCCAAGTGACCGATGAGGAGCTGGATTCAATGCTGGAAAGTGGCCAGACAGACGTTTTCACGCAAAACGTGAGTACAGCATTTTGACTCATGGTGAATTTATGTTTAATATAATTTTAGGTACCGTTTCTTTATTGTATGTGTTTGAAATTGGAACAGGACCTTGAAAAAAAAAAATGTTAATCGCAATATGAAGGGAAAGAAATGTCACTGAGATGGGTCTGTTGTCATATTCCGAAACCCAAAGTGTTGAATTTGTGGGTCAGATTCTGAGCGATGCCAAAGCCACGAAACAAGCGCTGAACGAGATCGAGTCACGGCACGACGAGATCCTAAAGCTGGAACGAAGCATCAAAGATCTTCACGACATGTTTCAGTACTTGGCCATGGAGGTGGAAGCTCAGGTCCGACATCCACCTTTACTTCTCACCCCCAGACACTGCAGATTTTTTTTTTTTTCAACTTCTATGCTTTCACAAAATATATTTACATACGTGTTTCAGTAGTATACTTAAGAATGGTTTTAAAATGTGCTAGAAAGGAAGATGAGCTTCAGAACATCTTGTGTCCTGCAGGGGGAGATGGTGGACCAGATCGAGCACAACATCAAGCAGTCGTCCAACTACGTGGAAAGGGCCAAGGAGAACACGGAGAAAGCGGTCACATATCAACAGAAAGCTCGCAAGGTAATGTTATTTATTGTCCATTAAAGGAGATCACACAACTGATCCCTCCCTCCCCCATTTTTAACCAATACTGCAATGCATCATACTGTTTCAGTAGTGTGTGAATGACATATTCTTTAGTGTCAGTTTCAAAATGAAATAAAAACTATAATGAAAAATCCCAAACTATGATACGTAACTTTGCTCACGACCAAATTTTTTTTCACTCGCGCACACGACTCAATCGCTCACAATAAACTACTGAGTGTTTTCACATTCACTATGGAATAGCCTTTAAATTTGGGGGCGGGGGGCTCACACACTGCTCAAACACACTGAACTTTTTTCACTCATTTACTGAAACGCTATTTTGCACGTTTGACATAACGCAACTGATCATCTTTGTTCTGGCACAGAAAAAGATTTGGATCGCAATCTGCTTGGCCGTGGTCATCATCATTCTCGCCATCTCGCTGGCCGCCACCTTCTCCTGACGCAGAGGGCCGCCTGTAACGCTTGGGTCTGGATCTGTTACGAATATGCTCGGCGCCTTCCTTTTGCCTCTCTAACACATAGTCGGCCTTCCCCTGTGTTGCTCGTCCCTGTAAAAATATCCCATGCATCAAGACCAGGACTGTTATAACAGCCCCCCGCCCCCCAATCAGACTGGAGCCTGACGGGCGCTGATCAATCAGTACTCAGGAATACTTTTGGTTTTATAGGACAAAGGGGGATCTCTTTTATAACAAATTGTACATAATGTATAGTGCTGTTCACGCAAACGTTACTAACTGCCCTAGTGTAATTATGTGGTGTAAATACAGATGTTTGTACCCCCACGGTTCCTCCCCTTTGGATTTTTAATAGCGTCGCGGACCAGTTTTTGTATTTATCACTTGAACTTGGGACGTGTGGGATGCCAAGAGCATATTAAATTCTTAAAGGCCTCATCATGCACTGAAACGTTTTTTTCCCCTTTTCTTCGCTGCTTGCAGTCAAACTCGAGCTGCAGTTGGTCTGTGCATTTGCAATGAAATAACTTGGAAAATTAATTTGGGAAATGTGTATTACTGTGGCTTTGGTCTCAAAATAAAATGCTGCCATCTTCCCTTGTTTTGTGTCATTCAAAGAGAACAGAGTAATGAGGCACAGGTGCACGCGAAAGCAAAAACATTGTCGGCTGCCATGATTTTTGCTGAAACAAATTAATATTTCGATGTTCACATTTAATATTTTTAATGAAGTAATCTGTTCAATTTTTATAAATACAACAAAAATTGTAAAAATAAAAATGCACATAATCTGTCAATTATATGGTTTAAAATGAGCATGTAGCATTTTAGTAAATCTTTTACATAGTACTTTTATTCCATTTCTATTCCATTTGAAGTTGCCCCCATCCCTACCTTAAAGTATTAACTGAGCTTTTTTGAACAAGCTGCACAAAAAGCATTAATTTAAAAATGAACGCTATGTACTCGTCTGAAAATGAGTCGAAGAAAAACTTTGGTAATGAAGGGAAAAATATTCAATTTTGGTCTTTTTATTCAATAGTAACTGTCTTATTGTTCAAGTAAAACAATGTGGAATTATTACAAGGGATTGAAGGAATGCAACAAATAAACTGACAACTTCCCCACCCCCCCCAAAAAAAAGACCATCACCCGACCAAACAAACCCCCCGCCTCGCATCTTCAATCCCACACCTGAAAGGAAATTCATTGCTGGTCACTTTCTGTGGACCGCTCCATTCACATATTCTGTCCCTGTTTATATTTTACAGAACAAAGGTGTGACAAGTAAAATAATTTGGTAGCACAAATACAGAGCTCATTCCTTGCTCATTCCAGAAATGTATCTTAATTTTTTTGAGGGGGGAGGGAGGCTTTTCTTCACAAGAAAGAGAAAAGCTCAACACTCCAGAGTGCTTCACAAGGCAAACTCGGGTCCGAACCCTTTTCACAAGGCCAAAGAGGCACTGACGCACTAGAAACACTACAGTAACTTTGCCTCGGGGTCGCTGGGACCGCATCACAATTTTGGTGTGATGAGATGAACCAATGATGGAAGAAAGAAAAAGAAGTGAGGATGTGCAAATAAGAAGAACCAAGAGAACGCAAAGAAGCTCCAGCTGGCAGCCATCTCTGCGATATTTCTCTTCAGTCCTGAAATGATGACAGTACACCACGACCACGCTTTACCTCCATTCCGCCGCCCAGCCTGCTGTAACGTGGATCTCTTCCACCCAGTCCGGCCCCCCTGCGCCGCCCCCCGGCCAGCTTCGTACCTAAAGGAGGACGAGGGGTGCCCAAGACACCGGCATGTCCCTGGGCTTGTGCGGTAACCCCGAAGGCCCGGACGCGCTCCGTGACGACACCTCACACTCCAGGGCACTGGCGCTCATGTCTTGTTGTGGCGTTGTTGGTGGGCGGAGGACCGCGTGCTGGCCGCCGGGGACCGGGCCTGAACAGCAGCCGCCGCCGCCACGCTCCTCAGGATACGGTCTGGCGTGCCCTCCGTCCCCGCGGTGCCCGCCGCCTCCTGCATCAGCTTCTGAGTCTTACGGCCACCCTTTCGTGGGCCCTGCCGGTCCTTACCGCCCCGTTCGGCGCTGCGGTCTCGGTCGCTACCCGAGGAGGTGGCACAAGAGCTGGCCCCTTTGCTGTCCGTGTTCTGGGAGCTGACACTGGGGGCCCGCCGGCTGCTGTCGCTGCTGCTACGACTTCGGCAACTTTGTGGCCCCCCGCCGTCTGCCCCACCGCTGCTGTTGTCCGGCCTCTCGCCATCCACTTCGCCATCACTGCTGCAGGCGCTGCGGCCCTGCGTGACCTCCCTGTCATGCTCCTTCACTCTTGCCACCTTTTTACTCATAACATCCTTTTCGTCCCCTTTAAGCCTTTTGTATTTAGGCCCATCCAGGGGGGGCACAAGGGACCCCGGGCACTGCCTGGTGGAGCGAGGTATGGGGCGACTGGCCTGATTGTGTGTCAAGGATTTGCTGTCGTTTTTACTTTGGGTAACAGAACTGTTCTGAATAGAAGCTGGGACAGTTTTACTTTTGGATTTTTGTTTTTTTTGGTCAGGAGACAAAGACGCAGCAGCAGTGTTTCCACCGGCTTTAGCAGCAGGGTCCTTGCGGGGGGTGTGACCAGGGGTATCCACCCTTCCTTTCATGGCGAGAAGTTTGGCAGCTGCGTTGAGTGCCGAGCACCGCTTCCCCAAGACTTCGGGTTCGGGGGGCTGTGGGGCCGCACGGTTAGCAGGAGCCTTCTTGTCTCGAGAAGACCCTGCTAATCTCCTTGTGATCCTAACAGACGACGAGTCGCTGCCAGAGTCGCCACCAGTGGATGTGTTGGCATTGCTGTCGGAGCTGAGTGTTGGCTTCCTCCCCCGGCGCTTGCTGCTCTGCTCTTTGACTTTGTCTTGGTTCTGGTCCCGGTCTTGCCGCTGGTGAGTTAAGCGGCATTCCTTCCCCCGCTCATCGTTGTCTGAGTCGCAGGAGGACGATGAACCCGATCTCCTGTGAGGTGATGTCGCATCGGGGTCCCTCTGGCTTTCGTCCTCTTCCAGTTGGTCTTCTGTTGCCCCATCTGAGGTGACGTCCACTCGCCGTTTCTTGGGAGGGTGTCGGTTCTCGTATGTCCTCTTGTGGTGAGCGTGACGAGTGAGGGTGGACGTGGAGCAGCCGGATGAGGGTGACGACGAGCAAGCCGACTCCTGGCTGCTCTGCCGACTGAGAGATCTTTTCTGAATGAGAGCCTTGAGCTCCTCGCCGGGTTCCTTGACTTCCCTTTCCGTGACAGGGGCACTTTTGTCCATGTCTGTGCCTTGGTTTTCTTTCTCGATGGGTTCGGCCTCAGCAGAAATCTCCATCTTTCTGCATTTGATGTCCAGCTGCGTGTCCTCTTCAGCCTGAACACCATCAGCTTCCATCTGGGTAGTCTGGTCTAGATCCTTTTCAGACAAGGACGGGTTTGACTCTGTATCAGCAGGGGTCTTTGCTGACTCTTTAGCCGAAGAGATGACTGCACATACGGTTTCTGCTTGTAAAGAGGTGACTGGAGACGTTTGAGGAGCAAGTGCTGTGGTCATTGATGTGATTGGTATTTCTGTGTGGGCCGTGCTCGTCAGCACTTGGGTAGTTGTGGTGCTACTTATGGTAGACGATGGAGTGACTAGTTCAGAGTTGGGCGAAGCAACAGAAGTACAATCCTCTGAGAGGGCAGCGGATGTTGACGTTGTGACTGTGTCGGTGAGTGTTGCACCTATCGTGGTCGTAACTGCTAATGGAGGAGTGAGGGCTGGAGAAAGTGGAGCAGATGTTGGCGAGATTGTGTTTTTAAGTTGCTCGGTTGTTGATGGCTCCACAGGAAGCTGTGCGTCACGTGAACAAGCCGTGACGGTGGGCGAAGACGTGGCTTCGCTGGTGTTCGACTGCTCCGACAAATGCTCATTCTTGTCTGGTTCTGGGTCTTGCACTGGGCTTGCTGAGATGGCGGAGTCATGCTTGAGGGTTTCTGTAGTGTTTGCTGGCGGATCAGTAACAACAGGAGGTTCAGCAGGAGGGACAGGGGCTGCCTCCAGGATCTCCATGGCTGATGGCATGACGGCGTCCGGTTTTGATGTTGGGTCTGCCTCCACCATTGTCGGTGGTGGTGGTGAAGGAGGGCAAGAAGCTGGTGTTGCACCAGTGGTGGTTTTGGCAGAATCAAGTTCTGTTGAGGGCTCTGATGGAGCATCAGATGGTCTAGAAAAGTCTGGTACGGGAGGAGGTGACAAGACAGAGCTGACAGGTGGTGATAGACTTGTGGTACTTTCAGGGATCAGGACAGTGGAAACCTGGTTTGGGGTCGCCGAGGAAGTGATGGAGACAGGATCAGGGGAGGCTACGTGAGGTTCTAGTGTGGCATCAGCTTCGACTGCTGAAGTTGAAACAGAAGAGGACGTTTTATTTGTGTGTGTTATCGATAATGCAGACTCTACAGTCTTTGAGTCTGTTTCCTCAGCTTTGGCAGACAGGAAGTCCTGATCCGTGCTTTCTGATTTCAGTGGATCAGGATTGTATTCACTGCATACATCCGCAGCAGGGGTGACTTTTTTAGATTTGTGTCCATCAAAAACAAAGTCTGGAGTATTCACAGAGTCTTTCCGGGGTCGTCCCCGTTTGCGCTTCGGGGAAAGGCTTCCATCCTCACATGGTGAAACAGGTTGCGTGGGAGGAGGAGACACTGTGTTGTTGAGCTCAAGCAACTTGGACTGACATTTAGGGGGCCGGCCCCTCTTTCTTTTTGTGGGCACATCAAGGGAATTGCCACCGGCATCAGGCGAAGCAGGAAAGGTCTCTTTACTCAGTGAAGTGTCCATTTTCTTGTGCTGGTTCCTTCCTCGACCGGCATGCAGCTGCTCTCCAAGCTGAGCCGCCATACGAGATTCCGTTTCCAGCCTGCGGCGGACTGGAAGGTTCCTCAGCACGGGCATGTCCGGAGACAAGTGGGGAGGAGAATATGGAGGATAAGCTCTGACAGGCTGCAGGTGCACAGGTGGACTCGATGTAGAGTCTTGGTCTTGACAAGATTTGGTCAAAGGGTCTTTCAGGCTGCTGTCAGGGACCAATGAGTCTTTATTTGGTTCCTCACTTGAGTTCTCCTCCACCGACGCCTCCTCTGAAGATGCTCCGGCGCCACTTCCTCGCCACCTCTTCTTTCTTGGCTCTTTCTCCTCCACCACAGTGACAAGCCGACCCGGAAGCTTCCGCAGGACTTTGGCTGACGGCGAATCATCTACAAGGCCCTTCAGGACTTCATCGTCAGCGGACTGGCGCTTGCGAGGCGAGCGACAGCTGGTGGAGGGCGGAGACATGGCGCTTTGGTCTTTAGCCTCATCATCTTTTGCCTCATGGGGCACTGGACAGACTGATTCGAGCGAGGACTCAGAAATCATGCTTTCCTCTTTGCCTCTCTTGGGCATCTTGCTCTCAGTTTCAGCCGCATTTTGCTGCTTCCCTCCAGGGGACAGGATTGAGGGCGAGGAAGGCACTGAATCGGCCGGAGGTTTGATTACGACGGCTTGCTGGTCTCTGGCAGGAGACAACGAGGCTTTGGAACATTTGGGGGGATCCTGCAGCTTTGTTGATGTCTTTGGAGGGTCTATGTGAGATGGGACACTAGAGTCTTTGGCGGCGTTGCGTCCTCTAAGACCAGTGCGGGTAGGCACTTCCCTATGCGTTGTGGGCTCGGGCTCGGTTTCAGGCGAAGCCCCACGCAGACGACCACTAGTCCTTGTCGAGGTGACAACCTTCACCTTGTCCTTGGGCTTGCGTCCACGTCGTGCGGGGGCAGGCTGAGTGGGCTCCACAGAGGGTTGAGCCAACAAAACCTCATCTTCATCAGAGGAAGCGTGCAGCCTTAGGCCCCCCTCCTTGGCCTGGTCCAGACCCTTTCTGGCAGCCTCCACTTGTTCCTAAACACGCAGAAAGATTACATGTTGATTCAGATCACAGTCTCATTCAAGTATGTCAAACTCAAGTCCTGCGAGCTAGATGCTGCCAGGTTACTCAAGACTTACCTCAGCTTGTTTCAGTTCTTCTTTGCAGACATCTTCTAAGGAGGCTTCCAGGAAGTTCATGGCATATCGCTCAATCGGAGTGAGCTGGGAATATGAAAGAGGGTATAGCGGTGTTTCAGAAGAGAGGTCACAGGGGTTCTCAAAATTTTTGTGTCGAAGACGTCTGAACAGAGGAGGATTTTTTTTCTCAAAGGAAGCCCTCATAATTGTCGCGCTAATTCAATTCACCTGTTCCACCAGAGCGGCTATTTCCTGCTCCGCTTTTGAGAGCTCCTCCACTTCTTCTTGATCGGCTGCGTCATCAAGTGGAATGTTCTCGTTGAACTCTGCCAGCTCTGCCACCTGCTCGGCTTTGGCTTGAGAGGCTGCCACAATGTCCTCCTCATCTTCTGCACGACAGAGCGCCTGCAAGATGGTTGTGCTAATTCAGTTAACGAACTCAATTTACCTTTGTTTAAAGAGCACTTGAAAAAGAGGCAAGCGAACTGTTTGCTCGTGTGCACATCATCTAATCCCGGGGTCCTTAACATTTTTAACCTCAGAGCCCAACTGTTTTTGTCCACATTGGCTTGGAGACTCTTTACGTATTCATACTGTATTGATTTAATTGCTGTAACGCTAGTTTGATTAGTATTCCATAAATAAATGAAGCCCACTTACAGCTTAACAAGCTAAAATCTTGCCCCCCCCCCCAAAAAAAGACTACCAAAGACATATTTCTCACAAATATTCAGAAATGTTTAAGAATCACTGATCTAACCTGTTCCAGAATGGTGGTGCTCTGCTTGTTGCCAGCTTCCTCGTCCTCAGCGTGAGGCATTGACACCTCCACAGCCGGCTCCCTCCTCTCACCATCGTTGACGTCAAACAGCTCTCTGATAGTTTGCTGAGGAAAAACAGACAACACGTTTGGAAAGTTTTCGGAAGCAATTTCATTGGTATGCGGGCAGGAACTTGTACCTCTTTGAAGAAGGCAGTGGTGAAGTTTCCTCCTTCGATGGCCATATCTCCGAGCATTCTCTTCTGGTTGGCTTTTTTCAGAATATTCTCCTCCACGGTGCGTTCGCTGATTAGCCTGAAGACGAGCACAGAAGCATCATCAGCGCAAAGACTGATGTAGAAATGCATGTTCTTGGGATGTGGAGGGAAGCTGGAGTAAAACATGAAAACTCCACACTGGAAGGCCATTAGCAAGATTTAAGAATCTACCTGTAGATGTGGACATCTCTGGTCTGTCCAATCCGGTGGCACCGGTCCTGGGCTTGAGCGTCCATGGTGGGGTTCCAGTCGCTGTCATAGAACACGACCGTGTCAGCACCCGTCAAGTTTACTCCCACGCCTCCGCTACGAGTTGACAAAATGAAGCAGAATATCCGACGATCTGCGTTGAAGCGCTCCATCAAGGCCTGGAAGAGAACGAGAAGGTTGGAACTTGTATCCAAAAAAAGAAATCAGAGGTGGGTATAAATGTGCAAGTTATAAATCTCAAGTCTTAACCTTCAAGTCTCGAGCAAAATCTAAGTTACTGTTGCAAAAATCAAGCAAGGATTGTTCAATGTCCAAAGTTGAAGTCTAAATGAACTCGGGAGTGTGATCAAGCCAAGGCCAAGTCACACCTACGTTTTGTCCAAGCAAAGAGCCAACTTCTGAAATTGTCCACTTCAGTCTGACTTGAGTCAGTTCATTTGACTAAAGTCCCCACCTCTGATAGACATCTGCACCGACCTGTCTCTGCTCCACCCGTGTGCTGCCATCCAGCCGCAGGTAGATGTGTCCGTGATAGTTGAGGAACTGTTCCAAAATGTCCAACATACGCGTCATCTGTGTAAATATCAGCACTCTGTGACCGCCCGTCTTCAGATTTCGTAACAGCAGGTGGAGGGTCTGCAGCTTCCCTGAAGTAAGACGAAACCAAAGTACAAAATAAGGACTGCGTAGGAAGTACACAACATTGTTGTGGAGTGGCACAACATGGTCTGAGCGTAAACTCTAGGAGTGTAGTCAACTTTAGTTGTGTATTGCCAACTATGCAAAAAAGACTTCTTACCACAATCATACTGGATAAGCCGCAGATCCGGGAACTGGGTCCTCATGTTGCACTGGATGCGATGGAGGCTGCGAGTGAGAGGCGCCACTTGAGCAGAGAGCGCTGAGGAGAACACCGCCTCCTTATGGCTCAGAGAGGGAGGAGGATGGCAGCAGTGCATTGTTATGCGAGCGGCTTCCACTGGCGGGATGGCAAACGTAAACCTGACAATAAAGAGTGTGAGTGAGTTTCCGATAAGACACCGCTCGAGTGAAGTGAAAAATACTCAGAATCTAGTGTTGTTAAAAAAAAAAAAATGTTTTTGAGAATTACCTCCAAACATGTTCTTAAAGTCATACAATGGATGTTTAGAAACCTACCGGTCCACAATGTCTGAGAGCAGCATTAACCTCTCCTCAATGCTGTGGATGGCATTTGCCACCGAATGACTGTGACTCCACAAGTTGTGCGGGTGTCGCCATTGTGACATCAAACAGCTGCCGTGGCCCGAACGCTTCCACTCGGCCTTGGCAGGCTGAAGGGCGGCAGGTGAGGGCTGGGGCCCGGGCAGGAATGTCAGGAAATCCAGAACCTCCATGCCAAACACAGGCTTTGCAGCAGAATGGCACTCGCTGACCCTGAAAATGAAGTCCAGTTTGCTGTCCCGCTGCTTCTTGACGGCCTCGGCCTGCGACGGCTAACAGCCAGGAGAAAGGGAGGAATAGAAATGAAGAGTGAGGACGGGATGTTGATAAAATCATGTTAACTCAAAGGTAAACAAAGAAAGAAGTTATTTGACAAGTGAATTTTTTAAATACAATTATTCTCACCTTATGCTTGTTCCTGTAAAAGATGTATTTATTCGCTATAAAAATAATTCTTGAAAAAACATGCCGTTTGTTATAAAAAATTTAAACGGGACTTTGTGCCAGTAATATTTGTTCTAAAATAACAGGCATGTCAGACTTATGTGACATCACAATCACATCAGAGCTTCTGTTTTGGCTTCTAATCTCTTTACCAATTCTAGAGATACGGTCATGAGGAATAATTGATTTATTCGGCTTGTTTTATTGGCGCACAGCTCCCCATTTTTTTGGGGATCCACTTTTGTAAATGTTACAATGTCATTTCTTGCAAATTACTTTGTGGTTCCCAAGCTATAGCTCTAAAACAACTGATGTTTGCATGGACAGAAGCCAAACCATTGCAAATTTGCTATCTTGATGTTGACATTATTGAAAATTTGCCTAAACTTACAATGTAAAAAGGAGAGCGAGGAAGCAGTCGCGGCCTTCTTCTGGGTGGAGGACGGGCTTTCGGAGCAGCAGTGGGTTTTGCCTTTATTACAGCTGGCGTCTGACTGGTGCTGGCGACCGCTGCGGTGGTAGTGGAGGTTGTGGTACTGGTGTCGGTGCTGGTGCCATCAGGGGCTGCCGGCTTGGATGCAGCACATGATGTCGTTGCCTCTGCTGGAGCTGAAAAGGAAGAGGGCAAAGACATCAGCATGGCTGGAGACACTCCAAAGTAATCAAATTAAATGGGAGTGGGACAGTGAGGCGAGAAAGAAGACTGAAGATCAGCCGCCAAGTGGGACTAAGTCACATTTGTGCAAGTTAGAGTCTGAAGTCTTAACCTTGAAGCCAAATTAAGTTTCAAACAAGTCAAACCCTATCATTAATTGGGTTAGCCGCTTGTGATATATCATAAATTACATGTCAAAAGTCAAGTCTTTCATGAGTTTTAGCCAGCAAACTCTTAAAAATTAGTGACTTATGTCTGACTCCA